CATCATCTTACCAATAATAATTTAGTGAGAGCTTGATCTCAAAGCAGACTTCCCTCTGTCTCCTTAGCCCACTTCTGCATGCTTCGCATACACGTCAACAACACATCTTTGCGTGTTTTATTTCCACAGACGTGAAAGTTGTACGCGTTCCAACCCGCGTGCAACTTTTCTTGTTTTTCTTTTTTTGTTGTTTTCTTTTCTTTTACTACGCATCTTTGCGTGGTAAAAAATCAGAGATGCACAACAAAACTAACTGAGCAACTCAGCGCATGATCCGCAAAACATCACAAAACAGCACGTTTACCTTTGCCATGTTGTCGTTTTAGATGAGAGAGTTTGGGATCTTTACGGCAGCACCGGGAGCTCCTGACTGTCATCCAAGTCCGTCCCACTCCGTTCCGCTCTCTGAAGGCACAGATGCAGAAACCTCGGACACTTACACTCTTAAAGCACACTCAAAGTTAATATTCCACCACAGAAAACTGGACTTGTCACCTCAGGAAAAGCAGCCTCCGTACTTCGGTCTTTTGTGAAATATTAAAAAGGAGGTAGCAGATGAGTGTTTATATATGCGTATATTTACAACGCTTTTCACTCCCTTTTTTTGGGTGGGGGGGGGAGGAGGTCCGCAAGTTGCAGTCTAGCAGGATCTACTTGTACAATAGAGTCGTTGTTGCACTCAGCCGCAGACCTGACTGTGGGATGGATGTGCGGGTCAAAGCGCATATCTCTGGTTGGATGACTTCGAGTGTATCATTTATTTCTTTTTTATTCACCCTGAGTAATATCAGCGGTGGTGGTGGACGTGTGTCCAAAGTACACGTGTTAGTTAGTTGCTGTTTGAGGGATGGGTTTTAGGGTTAGGCTTAGACATTCAATCATAGTAAAGGTAAACCGATAAGTCTAGAGAATGCATGATGTCAAAGGAATTGCAGTTGTTGTTTCATCCACGATCATGTCCCCACAAAGGTGTGTGTGTGTGTGTGTGTGTGTGTGTGTACTTGAATTACTGATATTGTGGGGACATGCGTCTTTTACGCATATATACTTTTACACTGTCGCACTGTGGGGACCTGTATCCCATTTGGGAGCAAAAAGGATGTCCACATAGTGTAAAACATTAGATGTTATTGATGATGTATATTTGTATAATATATTAATGTGGGCTACGTTAGTTATGTCTTCTGAAGTGACACAAATGCTGCTGCTCCTGTGAGCACGTGTGGTTTTAATGTGGTCTAATGGTCACCACCACCATATGCAGGTTTTTTTCAATCGTCACAATTGTTTAAGTCTGCTAAATTTAAACATGAGCAAGACAGCACAAGATTAAAAAGTGGTTTAAAGACACCACAGTTGGAGTTCACTTTATCCTTTTTTATTAAAAGATTGTTAAAAAAAACAAATTAATACTTAAAAAATGTTCTTGGACTTTTAGAAAACACACATGATTTTAAAACTCACAGATACAGAAATAACTGTTAAAATCTTTGCAGTGCCATTGTTCGAAATTACTGAAAGTGCGTTACATACAAAGCCAATTTCGATTGCTTTCAAGTAGGATATGCTTTACTCACTCCAAGAGTTTTTTTCTTCTTCTTTTTTAATTATTATTTTTACATTACTTTGCCTGGATCCACCATTTATAACACTGGTCAAAAACTGCAAACAACAAAACAGACATTAGCCTGAAATCATAGGTGGGGCACATTAACCAGGAGAAAAAACATAAAGTTGACCAGAATTATTTTTCGGAGCGGGAGGAAATAAATGAATAAGAGCTTTATGATGCCATATATATATTATATACTTACTTTAAACAAATGTTTATTTGGATTTTCTATTAATATTTTCTATTAATATTCTTCTGAAATGGAGCATACCAGAAGAGGTTTGAGAACCACTGGTATAACATCCCATGCAACATGCCAAACCTTGAGAGATGAGACTTAAGGAAACAGTAGATGACATCTCCGGCTGTTTGAACATCAGTCCAAAACCACCACTGGCCAACACTGTGCTGGCATTAATGACAACCAGTGTAGTAGCCAGAAGTTTAGAAGTATCTGGGGTAACAAGTTACCGGTGCCAAGATTTGGGCAAAAAAATAACTGTTGTAAAACAGTGTTTTTTCTAACTGAAATATAGTCTTAAAAAGAATGGTGTTGTTTCTTTGGGTTGCCAGAAGAAAGCCTTTTCTCTTTAAAAAGGACATGGCAACATGGCTTCTTTTTCCAAAGCTGAATCTGAACGAACCAAAAGATTTCTGATTTGTGCAAACGATGTCCTTTGCCCAAATCAGACCAAAGTGGAGGAGTGTCCAATAACTTGTGCTGAACAGCAGCAACACCAAGGAGGTCATTGTGGATTGCAGGCGGTCCAGCAAGACAAAACACGCTCCTCTCCTCATACACGGCGAGGCAGTAGAGCGTGTGGACAACATCAAGTTTCTGGGTGCGATGTGCCCAGCAAAGGCTCTTCTTCCTCAGGAAGCTAAAACGGAACAAACTCTCTTCTCAGCTGCTCATGAACTTCTACAGAGCCACAAAAGAAAGTATCATCTGTCCTAGTATGACTGTGTAATATGGCAGCTGCACAGCACAAGACAGAAAGAACTTGGCCTGGGTGATGAAAACACCACAAGGGATTGTGGGAAATCCACTTCCACATCTGGACTCGGTGTACGCTAGACAAATCCCAAAAACAGGGCCAGACGTGCTTCCTTCAGGAAAGTTGTATAGGAACATGAAAACGTACCATCAGCCTGAGAGACAGCTTCATTCCCCAGAGCTGTGAAA